GCGTAAGGAGGGGGAGGACATAGATAGCTTCCTGACGGCCTTTGAGAATGCCTGCGAGATGCACAGGGTTGACCCTGCAGACAGGCTCCAGTTTCTCATCCCCTTACTGGACCTCAAAGCCATGGAGGTGTACAGCCGGATGACAGGGCCGGAGGCAGGGGACTATGAACTGTTCAACCAGGCCCTGCTCCGTGAGTTTGGGCTGACCCCCGAGATGTACCGGAGAAGGTTCCAGAGTCAGTGTAAAACGCCTGAGGTCACCTACCTACAACTGGTCAACCGGATGCAGGGGTATGCCCACAAGTGGACAGCTGGGGCCCAAGCTAAAGAGGACCTGCTTGACCTAATCGTACTGGAGCAACTGTATGAACAGTGCCCTTCCGACCTGAGGCTGTGGTTGGTGGACAAAAAGCTCGAGAACCCCCAGCACGCAGGGCAGCTGGCCGACGAGTTTGTGAACAGTTGGTCAGGGGGTAGCCGGGAGGAGTCCCAAAAGAACAGCCCCCCCCCCCCCGCGATGCAGAGAGAGAGTCACCATGGGACCTCCCAGCGGGGAAATAGGGAGAACCTCCTCCAAAGGGGAACACCTGGCGTCAGGCCCCTCCGACCCGCTCAAGGGGACCAACGTGATCTGAGCTGCTATCACTGTGGCCAGAGAGGCCACATACGGACCCAGTGCCCCGGGCTCAGGGACAGACTGAGCAGACCCAACCTACCCAGGGTTAACTGGGTAGGGACCCAGCTGGACGAGGGGCAGACTGCCCAGGCAAGGGGGGCTGCCAGTTTACCACCTGCTCCGGAGGGAAGAGTACCCCAGGCCAGCTCCGCCAGAGGGCTGGAGGCTCTGGACTCAGGGTGCTCGGTTTACAGGGTGGGCGCGGGGCTGTCCCTCCGGAGAGAGTGCCTTGTTCCCCTGGAGGTGGATGGGAGGAAGGTCAATGGATACTGGGATACGGGCGCGGAGGTGACGCTGGCCCGGCCCGAGGTGGTGGCCCCAGATCGGGTGGTGCCCAACACCTACCTGACCCTGATGGGGGTGGGCGGGACCCCATTTAAGGTGCCCGTGGCAAGGGTACACCTGAAATGGGGGGCCAAGGAGGGCCCCAAGGATGTGGGGGTACATCACCATTTGCCCACTGAGGTTTTGATGCGGGGAGACCTAGAGGACTGGCCAAGCAAGCCCCAGACCGCCCTGGTTGTGACCCGTAGCCAGAGCCGGCGAGGGCCACTGCACCCTGACCTTGGGGAGGGTACCACACCGGAGGTGCAGGACCCTACCCTGGTGGGAAGGGAGGGCCGAGGGGCACGGCTCAGAGAGGCTGAGGCCTCAGACCTGGCCACTGAGGGGGAACCGGTCCCCATCCCTTCCCCAGCCGCTGAGTTCCAGGCCGAGTTGAGGAAAGATCCCTCCTTGCGGAAGCTCAGGGACCTGGCCGACCTCAGGGTGGTACGGACCATGAGGAGAGGCTGCCAGGAGAGGTTCCTGTGGGAGAAGGGGTTCCTGTACCGGGAATGGGCTCCCACAAGGGAAGTAGAGTCCTGTGGGATCAGGAGGCAGCTGGTGGTCCCCCAGAAGTATCGCCGCAGGCTCCTGTCCCTGGCCCATGACATCCCCCTCGCAGGGCACCAGGGAATCCGGCGCACCCGGCAGAGGTTGCTACAGAACTTTTACTGGCCCGGGGTCTTTACCACGGTCCGGCAGTATTGCCGATCCTGCGACCCCTGTCAGAGGGTGGGGAAGGCCCGGGACAAGGGGAAAGCGGCTTTGAGACCTTTGCCCATCATAGAGGAGCCTTTCCAGAAGGTGGCCATGGACATCGTGGGGCCTCTCAGCAAGACGACCCGGTCGGGGAAGAAATACATTCTGGTGGTGGTAGATTTTGCCACCCGCTACCCCGAGGCAGTGCCCTTAGCTTCCATTGAAGCCGACACCGTGGCCGATGCGCTCCTGACCATTTTCAGCCGAGTGGGGTTCCCCAAGGAAGTCTTGACAGACCAAGGCTCCAACTTCATGTCGGCCCTGCTCCGGTGCTTGTGGGAGAAATGTGGGGTCCGGCACGACTGGGCCTCAGCTTATCACCCCCAGTCCAACGGGCTGGTGGAGAGGTTTAACGGGATGCTAAAGATGATGCTGAAAACCTTTATGAACCAGCACCCGCAGGATTGGGACAAGTACTTACCTCACCTGCTGTTCGCGTACAGGGAGGTGCCCCAGGAGTCGACCGGATTTTCGCCTTTCGAACTGTTATATGGAAGGAGGTTGAGGGGCCCCCTGGACCTGATGAGAGACGAGTGGGAGGGGAAGGTCACTCCCGATGGAGAGTCAGTGGTGGAGTATGTCCTGATCTTCCGAGAGAGACTGGCTGAACTCATGGGCCTGACCAGGGAGAATCTGGCCCGAGCCCAGAGGAAGCAGAAGGTCTGGTATGACCGCATGGCGTGGGCCCGTGCCTACGCCACCGGGGATCAGGAGATGGTTCTCATCCCTGTGAGAAAGAACAAACTACAGGCCGCCTGGGAGGGCCCTTTCAAGGTCGTCAAGCAGCTCAGTGAGGTAAACTATGTGGTGTAGCTGTCGAACTGGGAGCACCTCTGCCGGGTGTACCATGTGAATATGATGAAGCCATATTATGCCAGGGGGAATGTGGTGTTGGCCGTGTGTGGACAGTGGGAGGAGCAGGGAGATGACCCTTTAGTAGATCTGTTCCCTGGGACTAGAGCTGGTTCCCCCCTGGAAACAATTCCCCTCTCGGATCAGCTAATCTCTGCCCAGCAAGCTGAGGTCAGGGGGGTGCTGCATCCGTACCGACAGCTGTTTTCCAACCAGCCTGGACGCCCTAATCTGACTGTCCACCGGGTGCAGACAGGGTCTCACCCGCCGATAAGATGCTCCCCCTTCCGAGTCACAGGGAAAACTGCTCAGGACCTGGAAAGAGAGGTCCGGGACATGCTGGCTTTGGGGGTGATCCAGCCATCGGCCAGCCCTTGGGCCTCGCCGGTGGTGCTGGTCCCCAAAAAGGACGGGTCGGTCCGGTTCTGTGTGGACTATCGGAAGCTCAATGCCATCACTGTATCTGATGCCTACCCCATGCCCAGGCCGGACAAGCTCCTAGGCAAGCTGGGAGGAGCTCGGTACCTTACCACCATGGACCTTACAAAGAGCTACTGGCAAGTGCCGCTGGATGCAGATGCCCGGCTGAAATCGGCCTTTATCACCCCTCTGGGGCTCTATGAGTTCCTGACCCTGCCTTTCGGCCTCAAGGGAGCGCCGGCCACCTTCCAGCGCCTGGTGGACCAGCTCCTGAGGGGGATGGAGAGTTTTGCCGTGGCATATATTGATGACATCTGTGTCTTAACCAGACCTGGGAGGACCACGTGTCCCAGGTTAGACAAGTGCTGGACCGACTCCAGGGGGCTGGGCTGACTGTAAAAGCGGAGAAGTGCAAGGTGGGGATGGCGGAAGTGTCTTACCTGGGCCATCAGGTGGGGAGCGGCCGCCTAAAGCCGGAACCAGCCAAGGTGGAGGTGATCAGAGACTGGCCCGCTCCCCACACCAAAAAGCAGGTCCAAGCCTTTATTGGGATGGCAGGATACTACCGAAGATTTGTGCCCCACTTTAGCGCCATAGCCGCCCCCATCACTGGGCTATGCAAGAAGGGGAAGCCAGACAAGGTGGTCTGGACCGAGCAGTGCCAGGTGGCTTTCCGGGCGCTGAAGGAGGCTCTGGTCAGTGGCCCAGTTCTGGCAAACCCGGACTTTGACAAGCCCTTTGTGGTGTTCACCGACGCCTCCGACACGGGACTGGGGGCGGTGTTAATGCAGGAGGATGAAAAGGGGGAGAGACACCCCATCGTGTACCTGAGCAAGAAGTTGCTACCCCGGGAGCAACACTACGCGGCCATCGAGAAGGAGTGCCTGGCCATGGTGTGGGCCCTCAAGAAACTAGAGCCCTATCTCTTCGGGCGACACTTCACCGTGTACACCGACCCCTCTCCCCTGACCTGGCTGCACCAGATGAAAGGAGCCAACGCCAAGCTCCTGAGATGGAGCCTGCTCCTGCAGGATTACGACATGGACGTGGTCCACGTGAAGGGAAGTGCCAACCTGATAGCGGATGCGCTGTCCCGGAGAGGGGGCCCCGAACTTCCCCAGGTCACTGGTCACAGTGACCCCGCTCAGTTCAGTCTCAAAGGGGGGAGAGATGTGACGATGTGACTCAGCAGGGAGGGGGGAGTGTTGACCTGGGAATGTGCCCTGGGGATGGGAGACCTGAGAGCCTGTCACCTGAGCCAGGAGGGGGAGGGGGAGGTAACACCTCTGCCCAGGAATGTGAACAGAGGCTGCAGGAGGGAGCCTGCTGGGTGGGTTTAGTTGCAGTTTGGAGGCTGGGGAGAGGAACACAGGGAACCCCAGGGCTGGGGTCTAAGCTCCCTGCTCCCCCAGAAGGACGTGATTGAGGGGTCCGGGTTGTACCCACAAGCTCTGTTGTGGACTGTGTTCCTGTTGCCCAATAAACCTTCTGTTTTACTGGCTGGCTGAGAGTCTCAGTGGATCCCAGGAAGAGGGGGGCAGGGCCTGGACTCCCCCACACTCCGCGACACCCCCATCTCCCCTGCTGCCCCTGCCCCCGGCCCCCTCCATCCACAGAGCCAGCACAGGGGCAGCATCTCCTCTGCTCGCCCGTGTGACCAAGCTGCCCGGCCTGCGCCCTGTCGGCCCCAAGGGGCAGGGAGCGGGTCCTCTCCACCCAGCCCCATGGGCAGCCTGGCCCAGGCTGGAGACCCCGGCCTGGCACCCCCCAGCATTCCAGTCGGGCGGCTCCCGGTGGGTGGTGGATCATGTGGATAGTTCAGCCTCGGATGCCTCGAGCAGGGGGCTCAGACCCTTGCCCGGGGGCTGAGGGGTCACGCCCCCATCTTGGGCACGGAGGCTTGGAGCCACAGCACGGGGCCTGCTTTGGGGTGGGAGGGGGGGATGGGGCCCTGCTGCCCCGTGGTGCTGCTGCGCCGCTGGGGTTGGCACATGCCATGCTCCGATGCCCCGGTGATGGGCAGGGGAGGCTGACAGAGCAGGTCTGCGCTGGCAGGGCCCGTGGGCGCTTGGCTCCTGGAGACACATGGGCTGGCTCTTGTTCTGCCCCGTCCTCACCGATTTCTCTCTCCCCCCCAGGTACGGCCGCCGGCCACGCGTCTCCGCTCAGAGGAAGCAGGTGAGTAGGGGGGCCGGTGGGGGTGGGGCAGGGGGCACTGCCCGGCTGAGCAGCTTCGCTCATCAGTGCAGCAAATGCATCGCTCCTCAGCCCCACACGCTCTGCTGATGCCCCTCACTCCTGAGCCGCAGCCCCCTTGCTATCCCAGCCCTGGGGTCCCCCCACACCCCAGTTCTGCTCTGCTGATGCCCCTCCCTCCTGACCTGCAGCCCCTCCCCTCAGTACTGGTTCGCCCTTCTCATTAAAGGCACCAGAGCGGCTGCACCCCCGAGTCTGATGAAGCCCCGAGCCCAGGGGCGTCTCCCACCAATTCCCGATGCCCACGAGTACGGCGTGTCCCTCTCCTCACCCCGTCCCTTGCTGACGCAGCTGGAGGGTCCATGTCCACCCTGACCCCAAATACATCCCTGGGTTGTCGCGGTCGCAAACGAGGCCGAGACCCACCGGCTACTGCTCCGGCCGCGCCCAGAGCTCGGGGCTGGGGGCCCTGGCACGTGCAGCCGGTGGCCTGGCCCTCTGTGGGCGTTTGGGACAGGAATGGCCGGGGCAAAGCGGGACGCCAGCTGCTCGAAGGGGGAGGGTGCCCCACAGGCCTGCTGCCACGCCTGCCCGTCATCCTGCCCCAGGCCTGTGGGGATGGAGTCCCAGCGTGTGACCTTGCCCCGCTAGGTTCCTGCCTAGGTCCAGATACCGGGGCAGCAGGCTCCGATGCCGGGGTGATGGGCTCCAGCGATGGCTCCGGTACCCAGGACGCAGGCTCCGATGCCGGGGTGATGGGCTCCAGCGATGGCTCCGGTACCCAGGACGCAGGCTCCGATGCCGGGGTGATGGGCTCCAGCGATGGCTCCGGTACCCAGGACGCAGGCTCCGATGCCGGGGTGATGGGCTCCAGCGATGGCTCCGGTACCCAGGACGCAGGCTCCGATGCCGGGGTGATGGGCTCCAGCGATGGCTCCGGTACCCAGGTCGCAGGCTCCGATGCCGGGGTGATGGGCTCCAGCGATGGCTCCGGTACCCAGGTCGCAGGCTCCGATGCCGGGGTGATGGGCTCCAGCGATGGCTCCGGTACCCAGGTCGCAGGCTCCGATGCCGGGGTGATGGGCTCCAGCGATGGCTCCGGTACCCAGGTCGCAGGCTCCGATGCCGGGGTGATGGGCTCCAGCGTGAGCGCCGAGGCCGGCTGCATCCCTGGCACCGGTGCCAAGGCCGAGGGCTCGGACACCAGGAGCCTCCCTTTGCACGCCGAGCTCCCGGCGCTCTGCCCAGAAGCCCTGTTCCAGGGCCCCGAGGCTGAGCCCTACATGTGGTTCCTGAGGAGTCACCACTGCTACGCCGCGGTCCCCACCAGCTCCAAGCTGCTGGTGTTCGACACCACGCTGCAGGTGAGCGCCGAGGGGCCGGGCCACGGGGCTGCCCTGGGCGTTGGGGGCTGGGGGGGGCGGGCTGAGGGGACCCTGGGGGCGCAGCTGGGCCGGTCCCTCCCTCCACCCCGAGCCGTCCCATAGCCCCGTGAGGCAGGCTGGCGGGCGAATGGGGGCTGCCCTGTCGTCCCCCCTCCCCGGTGGTCTCACGGCCCCTCTGCTTGGCTTGCAGATGAAGAAGGCCTTCCTGGCGCTGGTGGCCAACGGGGTGCGGGCCGCCCCCCTCTGGGACAGCAAACAGCAGTGCTTTGTGGGTGAGTGCCGCAGGGGGCAGGGGGAGGGGGGCAGCGAGTCCGTGCCAGGCAGCCTCGGCTAGGTGCAATGGCACAGAATGGGGGGGCTGTGCCCTGTGCTGGGATGCCCAAGGCCTGGACAGGGATCTCAGCGACACCCACGCCCACGATGCCCAGCGTGGCACCGTTGCCCCCCTGACACCCAGCATGGCCCAGAACCCATCATACTCCAGGGCACGTTGGCACCGGCCCGGGTTTGCTCCTGGCCCAGGTCCTTGCGCCCACGGAGCCAGCTGCTCTGCGGCTGCTGGTATGTGACCCACTGGGCTTGTTCACCCCTAGTAGGCTGGCACGCAGGTGGCCCCCGTTTCTGGCTCAGTGGAGGGGCCAAGCTGCGAATGGGCCATGGGGCCCGGCTGCCTCTTACCCTGGGAGTGGGTGGGGGCACCGCACCATGGGGCACTGCGGAGGGTGCCGCTGCCCAGCCGGTGTGTGCCCTGTGGGCAGATGGCTTTGCCCAAGCAGGGCTGTGAAGCCAGCTGCTGGGGAATGGCCATGGTGCCCCCAGCCAGCTGCCCCCACTGACCCTGCCCATCTCCCCCGGCAGGGATGCTGACCATCACGGATTTCATCAACATCCTGCACCGCTACTACCGGTCCCCGCTGGTGAGCTGGTCAGGCCTCTGCCCCATGGCTGGGGAGCTTCTGCCCCTCTGGGGCGGCTCCCCCTCGAGATCAGACTCCCCCAGCAGGCGGGAAGGGGGCTCAGGAACCGCTTGTGGGGCGGGAAGAGGGGCAGGCAGGATGTTACACTGCTGGGCACGTGCCGGGGTCCCCAGTGCCAGGGGGCTGTTGAGTTCCTGGTGGGGGACCAGGGGGCGCCGGGAGGGGACCCCAACAGCATCTGGCTCAGTGTTAGTGCGAGAGGCAAAGCATGTTCCCTGGGCAGAGCTGGCTGGCTGGGGACATGTCCCTTCTGGTGCCAGCCACGAGAGGAGACAGGACGCCAGGCTAGATGGGCCCATGGACAGACCCGGTCTGGCAGACTCCGGGTACATCCGAGTGGGTGCCCTGCCTCTGGGATCTGCGTCCCCAGCGTGGCGTGTGACCCCGGCAGAGCTGGTGGGGGCCAAGTGGCCATCTGACGCCACCCCGTTGAAGTCCCCCTTGGGAGCCACGCAGCCAAAGGCAGCCCCTGACCAGAGGCAGCTCCCAAGCAGCCCCCAGTGGGTCCTGTGGCTCCCCCAGGGCCCACCCCACGGGTCCCCCTTTGCCACCTGGCCCGGGCATCCTTCCTCACCCCCCTTTCCCTGTGCTGCAGGTGCAGATCTATGAGCTGGAAGAGCATAAAATTGAGACCTGGAGAGGTAGGGAGAAGACGGCGGGGGGCAGGGAAGGTGTGCGTAGGTGCAGGGATCTGTGGGGTGTGTACAGTATGGCGGGCTGGAGGGTGAAGTGGGGGGTGCGTTGGGGCTGTGGGAGTTACAGATCCTTCCCAAGCCTGATCCCCCCCTGGGCCCTGATCCCCCTCGGGGGCGGGGCTGCCCCGGGCACCGGGAGCTGCAGGTCAGATGCCCTGGCAGGCTGCCCCGGCTGCCCCTGCTCAGAGGTCCTGCCCGCCCCAGCCTGCCCCACAGGCCTGAGCTGTCTGGCACCCACATCCCATTGCCCTTGTGCCCCAGCCATGCCCTGGCAGAGACTGTGCCCCCACAGGGACAGACTCAGGCACCCCTGCTCGCCCCCTCTGCCACCCCCACAGCCTTGGCTCCCCACTCACCCGCTCAGCTCCCTGTTGGCCCCCCCCGAGCCTCAACCCCCAGATCACCCCGTTTATCTCTCCACACCCTTGGTTCCCTGCTCACCCTCATCAGCTCCCGGTTCGCCCCCTCTGCCCCCACCCTTGGCCCCCCACTCACCCTCCTTGCCCCCTCAGCTCCCCTCTTCTCCCCACTGCACCCTTGGCCCCCAGCTCACTCCCTCTGAGATGTCAGGGGGGTTTCCCTCCACCCTCCCGCTTCCCGGGCCCCTGTCCCGCAGACAGCAAGCGGCAAAAGGCCAGGCGTCCGAAGGGCAGACGAGGTGATGTTTGCTGGGTGAGTGTCCGAGCCAGCATGTTCCAAAGCCCTTCACACCACTCGACAGAGTCTGTTCCCCAGTGTTCCCTCCCCGGCTCCGACGCCGGGGAGCCTTCACCCCGCGGCCCCCTGCCCGGCTCCGACGCCAGGGAGCCTTCACCCCGCGGCCCCCTGCCCAGCTCCGACGCCGGGGAGCATTTACCCCGCTCCCCCCCGGCCCAGCTCCCACGCTGCACAGTCTTACCTGTGTCCCTGTTCCCCATTCCCTATTCCCGCCCCACCCTTAGCAAACATGATTCCAATTTTCCCTTCCACTTCCTGTTTTACCCCAGTTTTTTACGGTAACATTCTCAGCTATACCTTAACCCAGCGGTTCTCAAACTTTTGTCCTGGTGACCCCTTTCACTGAGCAAGCCTCTGAGTGCGACCCCCTTATAAATTAAAAGCACTTTTTAATATATTTAACACTATTATAAATGCGGGAGGGAAGCGGGGTTTGGGGTGGAGGCTGACAGCTCCTGACCCCCCACGTAATAACCTCGCGACCCCCTCAAGGGTCCAGACCCCCCAGTTTGAGAACCCCTGCCGTAACCAATCATTTTACTGAAATTTAACTAACCAATCCTAGCACATTGTAACATAATTCTCTAACGACTGGTACCCCACCCCCCTCATTAACTTACCCCAGCATCATGAATTATACAGCGGACAGAAACAATTAGAGATCCAGACAGATTGACAGTAGAAAAGTGGGGGCCGGGCCATAAAGATAAAACATACAAGAATGAGGGGTTCACAGCCACAATTGGGGGAGGGATAGCTCAGTGGTTTGAGCATTGGCCTGCTAACCCCACGGTTGTGAGTTCAATCCTTGAGGGGGCCATTTAGGGCTTGGTCCTGCTTTGAGCCAGGGGTTGGACTAGATACCTGCTGAGGTCCCTTCCAACCCTGCTGGTCTATGATCCTGCGGAGAAGGGATTTCGTGCCAGACAGGCTGCTATCGAACGGCGTTTTCTTTCACCGCCTTGAGCTGGCGGTGATGGGCACTATCCAGACAGGATCGTCTCCCTGCCAGCCCGGCGGCACTGTAGTCCCATGGGGCTGGTCTGAGAGGTGAGGATGAGCCTAAGAACCAGGCCTCCGACTCTCCTAGCGAGAGAAGCCCAGACACGGGCAGTCTGTGATTTTGATTCTTTCTTTTGTACCCCTGTAAGAAGCTAAGTGGTAAAAATTCATCTAAGTTGTTAAAGAATAGGCCTTTACAGGCAGGCCTGAGTATCTATATCCTGACACGCCCCTGCACCCTCGGCCCCCTGCTCACTCCCTCTGCTCCCCCGCATCCCCGACCCCCCAGCTCACCCCCTTTGCTTCCTTTCCAGAGGTTTATCTGCAAGGCTCCCTGAAGCCCCTGGTCTCCATTTCCCCCAATGACAGGTAAATCCACCCCCAGCCACATCGGAGAAGCACCGAGGAGGGAGGGCGCCTGTCTCTGGGCCGGCTGCCCCCACTGCAGCCCCACTGGCCACCCCAGATGGAGCCTGCCAGGGCCTGGGTGCCCATGGCAGCCCCTAGAGCCAGGCTGGTCCTGGTGGGAGCCCGGGTGGGGGGGCTGGGGCAGGTCCTACACAGAGTCTGCCCCACAGGGAAAGGGGGAACCAGGGGTTGGGGATGTGGGGGGGGCAGTGAGGAGAGCGGGGGCGCATTGGCATATGAGGGAGTGAGGCCAAGAAACAACCCAGGAGTCCAGGCCACTATTCTAACCTTGGTCTGCCAGGGCTGAGCTGGGCAGCCGAGCCCGGGCGTGATGGGGGCAGGGTGGGGGGCTGGCAGGGGCAGGACCAGAACCCCCCAGTTGGCAGAACATAGCACCAGGCTAGATCTTGGGTGGCGCAAGAGGCTGGGGCAAGAGGGGCAAAGGGGGGGGAGAGCAGTGGACCCCTGGAGCCCCCAGTCCTTGGTATTACTCCAGAGTGCTCTGAAGTTCCCGCCCAAGGCTCTCCAGCCCCCCCCCGCCATCACTGCCTCGGTCTCCCCCAGCCTCTTCAACGCCGTCTACCACCTGATCAAGAACAGGATCCACCGGCTGCCGGTGATTGAGCCCTTGTCCGGCAACGTGCTCCACATCCTGACACACAAGCGCATCCTCAAGTTCCTCCACATCTTTGTGAGTGGGGCGGGGGGGTGGGTCATTGCTGTGCCCGGGGGCCGGGTGCAGGAGGTGGGGGTGAGGCCTGTCTGTGCGGGGTGCAGGGGGTGGGCGGTGGAGGGGGTGGCCTGTGTTTGTGGGCTGGCCCAGGCCGGGACAGGCAGGCAGACAGGGCCGGGTGTGGGTCTGTGTGCAGTGCGGGTGTCGAGAGGTGTTTGGGCAGGGGGTGTATGGAGGCGTACAGGCGGGGGTGGGTGGGGTGTATTCGTGCAGCGCGTGCAGACGGGCACTTGCTTGCGGCAACGTACCATGCCCGGGGGGATCTGCCTGGCCGTTGCCCTTGGCCTGACTCGAGGGAGCCCGGGACCAGCTGTGGGGGTTGGGGGGTGTCACCTCGTGCTGCCCAGGAGCCCAGGGCACTGCCCAGTGTGAGCTCAGACTGCAAACCCGAGCCCCGTCCCTGCCGGCCTCGCTGGCTCCGGCAGCAGAGGGCCCTCGGCGTGTGCCCTGAGCTGCCCCCTGATCGCTGCCCTTCTCCCGCCGCAGGGGGCCATGCTGCCCAAGCCGCGGTTCCTGCAGAGAACCATCCAGGAGCTGGGCGTGGGCACCTTCCGGGACGTGGCCATGGTGCTGGAGACGGCGCCTGTCTACATGGCCCTGGAGATCTTCGTCGACCGCCGGGTGTCGGCACTGCCCGTCATAAACGAAGCCGGTACGGGCAGAGACACCAGGGCACGCTAGGCAGCCCGTCTCCCTGACCTCTCTGGTCCCGGTCCACCTCCAGGGTCCCCCTCTGGACTCCCTCAGCTGCCCTCCTTGGGTCCCCCAACCCACAGCCATCCTGAGCACCCGCTGTCCCGTCCCCCCGTCCCGCTGGGCCGAGCCCACCGCGGACCCCACTCTGCGCAGCCAGCACCGTCCTTGTCTTACCCCGATCCACGGCTCGCTCCCGGAATCGCTCCCGGAACCAGGGCTCCTTGGATCCCCCTTTGCCACCCAGTGTCCCCACCACGCCTTGGCTGCCCGTCTGACCCCACTGCCCGCAACTGCCCTGCTCTGCCCCGCCAGTGACCCCGGTGCGCTCTCTCTCTCGTTCCAGGGGAGGTTGTGGGCTTGTACTCCAGGTTCGACGTGATCGTGAGTATCACCCCTGGGTCCGGATCGCTGGGCTCTGGGCAGCAGAGAACGTCCCCCCATCGGGCCGTTACCTCCCCTCCCCTTCGCTCCTTCCACCCCAGAGTGCCGAGCAGGGATCCTTTCCCCGCCACCACAGTGCAGCCCCCTCTGTGGTGGGGCATGGCAGCTGTTTCACAGTGCAAGAGCTGAGAGGGAGAGTGAAGGCGAATCCCCTAGCTCGGGCTGTAGGGTGGATTGTGGGGTGGCAGGGACAGTGGGGCTAACCCCCCATCTCACACAAGGGGGCAGGCGTCTCCGGTGCTAGGCCTGGGCCCTGACCGCGGCCATCTGTCCCCTCCCCCCAGCACCTGGCTGCCCAGAAGACCTACAACAACCTGGACATGAGCGTGCGGGAGGCACTGAGGAAGCGAACGATCTGCCTGGAGGGGGTGCTCACCTGTCACCCCCACGAGACCATGGGCGACATCATTGACCGCATCGCAAAGGAGCAGGTAGGGCTGGGGGGCCCTGCCCCCCGCCTCAGATCCTGCTCCAAGCCTCCAGGGCTAGTGCTGGGCTGGGCCCCTGGACCCGGGTCCGCCAGTTCCCGCTCAGCTTCGTCTGTCCCTGGACTCGCTTCCCTCCCCCCAGACTCCAGCACTGCCCCCAGTCCCCTGGCTGCTCCTTTGTGAGGCTCACCCCCTTTGTGCCCCCTGTCAGGGTTCCCTCCCCACTCTGAACTCTGGGGTACAGATGTGGGGACCCGCATGAAAGACCCCCTAAGTTTATTTCTACCAGCTTAGGTTAAAACTTCCCCAAGGCACAAATCCTTTGTCCTTGGACGGCACGCTGCCACCACCAAGTGATTTAGAGAAGACCCAGGGAGAGGACCACTTGGAATTCCTGTCCCCCACAAATATCCCCCAAGCCCTGCACCCCCTTCCTGGGAAGGCTTGAGAATAACATACCAAGCACATAGGTAAACCAGATTCTTACAAAACAGAACTTCATTTTAAAGGAAAAACAAGTAAAAGAAGCCCCTCTGTAAAATCAGGGTGGAAGGTAACTTCACAGGGAAATCCGATTCAGACCAGAGGATTCCCCTCTGGGCAAAACTTTAAAGTTACAAAAACCAGGGATAAATCTCCCGCTAAGCACCGGGAAAATTCACAAGTTGAAAACAAAAGGTAATCTAATGCGCCCTGCCTTCCACACTTCTGACTGCCTCTCTGTGCAGTATTGAGAATCACTTGAGGATGGTTTATAGGAGAAGGAGTTTTCTGACCTGGTGCGTCTCTGCTTCCCCAGAGAACGCACACACAAAGAGCCCACAAAAAGCCTCCCCCTGCCCCCCCATTTGAAAGTATCCTCTTTCCCCACTGGTCCTTTGGGCCAGGTGCCAGCCAGGTTATTTGAGCTTCTTAACCCCTTGCAGGTAAGGAGGAATTCTAGGCTGCCCTTAGCTGTATGGTTATGACCCCCCCACCCCGCCCCGACAGTGGTCTGTCCCCTCCCACGGGCTCTCGCTGACCCCAATCCACTGCCATATACCCCCTCTGACCCGCCCCTCACTGACTGACCCTGATCCCCCCCTCTGACCTGCCCCTCACTGACTGACCCCAATCCCCCCCTCTGACCCAGCCCCCTCTGACTGACCCCGATCCCCCATTACCCCCTCTGACCCAGCCCCCACTGACTGATCCACCCCGTACCCCCCTGTCCCAGCCCCACTGACGACCCCAATCCCCCCAACCCCCTCTGACCCAGCCCCCTCTGACTGACCCCGATCCCCCCATGTACCCCCTCTGACCCAGGCCCCCACTGACTGACCCCGATCCCCCCATGTACCCCCTCTGACCCAGCCCCACACTGACTGATCCCGATCCCCTCGCACGTACCCCCTCTGACCCAGCCCCCATTGACTGACCCCGATCCCCCCACGTACCTCCTCTGACCCAGCCCCCCACTGACTGACCCCGATCCCCCCACTGACTGACCCCGATCCCCCCCCACGTACCCCCTCTGACCCAGCCCCCCACTGACTGACCCCGATCCCCCCCACGTACCCCCTCTGTCCCAGCCCCCACTGACTGACCCCGATCCCCCCCACGTACCCCCTCTGACCTAGCCCCCACTGACTGACCCTGATCCCCCCATGCTGCCCGTTCCCTGCCCACCCCTGGCCCAGCGGGTGAGGCTGATGGTGGGTCTGGCTCGGCCGACAGGTCCATCGCCTGGTTCTGGTGGACGAGAAGAACTCGCCACGGGGGATCGTCTCCCTCTCCGACATCCTGCAGGCCCTGGTGCTGACGCCCGCAGGTATCGATGCTCTTAACTCTTAAGCCCGCGACGCTCCGTCCTTTCTCCATTCGTACCCTCCATTTCCTCAGCTTCTCTCCGGCTCAGGTAGGCTCAGCCCTCAGCCTCCCCCTCTCTGCCGCTTGCCACCCCCATGGGCTACGCTCCTGGGGCCCCCGCCCGGCTGGCTCTGCAGGTCTGTATTGCTCTCCGGCAGCAGGGCCTGGCCTCGCAAGGCGCCACATCCGGTCACCCTCGAGGGCTCCGGCCCACCTCCCCTGGACTCGGAAGCCCTGTGCCAAGTGGGGGACCGGCCCCCACTCTGGCCGTATGAGCTGAGTGCAAATCGCAGCTGCCATTGCTGGGGCGGGGATGCCAAAATCAGCTCCCCCCACATCCCTTTCATCCGTGGCTTTCTGGCCTGCGTCCCTGCAAAGCACCCACGGGGGTGAGGTCGTTCCTGGGGGGGGGCGGGGGGTGCAGGTGGCAGCTGACGGACGGCTGGATCCAGGGCCAGCCGCCTGGCACGGCTCCCGTTCGCCCAGGGATCCCCTTGGCACAGCAGATCACTGATTCCTGGAGCCCGCCCCGTGATCCGGCCCAGCTCGATCACCCGTCCAGCAGCGCTGGCATGGCCCGGCTCCTTGGACCCCCCCCGTGGGGTGCTCGCCGCACCATCCCCGCGGGCGTTGGGCAGTCAGAGGTCACCGAGCGCAGGCCTCCGAGGGGAACCCACTGATGGCCTGGAGCTTCCCCTCTGCAGGACTCGATCCCTGGTCACTGGGGCCCTCTCTGGTAGGGATGGGGTCCTGATGACTGAGACCCCTTGGCCAGGGAGCCTGCGGGTTGCCCCGTGGGGCAGTGGCTGTGCGGGGTGCTGTGACCCCATCGTGCCCCAGTGGGCTGGGGGTGAAGGGTCCCAGGGGAGGGGAGCTGGGCAGCACTGTGTTCCTGTAACACTCTGGGGGAGGGGACAGATGGCACAGAGGTAGGGATCTCCCCTCCCTGCCCCTGGCCCCCTGGCCGCGCCCCCTCTGAATGGCCACAGCTGCCAGCAGCACAAAGAGACCCCTCCACGACCACTGCGTCCCTCCCTCCCGGCATGGCTGGCCCCATAGCCTGGGGGACCCCAGGGCAGGGTGGGTGCAGAGAGCTGGGGAAAGAGAGCAGGCAGGACGCCCAGCTGCTGGGGGCATCTACGGGGCTTCCCGCTGGCATCCTGGGGGCCCCCCCAAAAGACGGGCGGGTTCGAAGTCAGCATGGCCGGGGTGGGACATTTGGCCTGGGCTGGTGCAGAGCTTGGCTGGCGGGCGATGCCGTCCGTGTCCCGAGAGGTGCTGTGTGCCAGCCATGGGGCTGGCATGGCTGGGTCCCTTGTAGCCCCCTCCCCCGCTGCGTATCTGCCTTGTTTTTGCGCCTGGCTGGGCACCGGTAGGGGTAGCACCCGCGGGCTGAACGCACTTGCCGGTGGGGCTGCAGAAGGCTGCTTGGCAGAGCTTCCGAGAGGCCTGGGGCCCAAGGCCACCCCCTCGCCCCCGGGCACTGCGGGGCCTTTCTTCCGGCACGCGCCCACCTTGCTGTCTGCCCGGTGGCGGCTCTCTGGGGCCTCGTGGCCGTGGTGGCATTTGTTCATTGTGGCCCGTTGAGTTCCCATCTTACTGCCCCCCCGCTTCAGCCAGTCAGCTCAGCTCTGGGGCCAGGACGGGGGCCAGGGGCTGTGGCTGGAGGGACGTGACCAGTACTGGCCCAGGCGGGTGCGGGAGGGATGGCTTGGGGGCACTGGACATGGGGCCTGCCCCCCCCGCCCCCCCCCAGAGGGCCCCGGTTCTAACCTGGCTGCAGATGGCCCATGTCTGAGTGGGAGCCGTTCCCAGCTGATGGCTCGTTGCTGGCCTGGGCTTGGGGCAAATGGCCGGATCCCGCTGCCCAGTTTGGAGCCGTAGCCAAGGGGACGGGATGGTTTCTGGCCTCCCCGGCATCTTTAGTCCAGTGACTCCTGCTCTCTGCAGCAGAGTGGGGCTGAGCGCTGCTGTCTGCCCGCCGGGGCGTTTGCCCAGCCTAGCACAGTGGGGAGGATGGGGCTGTGCCCGCGGGTGCGATCCACTGTGTCTACGCGGCTCCCTTTGCGCTGGTGGCTACGGGCCGGCAGTGGCTTGAAGTCACCCTGAGGGGGCTGGGGGGGCAGCCCATGGGAGCTACAAGTCCCAGGGTGCAAAATCCTAGCCAGTGTGTTGCACGTTGGGACCTGTAGTCTGAACAGGCCTGCAGTGGGTGCATGGAGACGCGGGTGGCAGGGCTCTGCTGGCATCGGGCCGGGTCCCCTGCCAGCTGGGGGGCGGGCAGCTGTTGCCGCCTGGTAACCCCCATCCCTGGTTTTCTGCAGGCATCAACCGGCAGTCGCTCTGAAGGTGCCAGGGAGGGCTGCTGCCACGTCTGTCTGGGTGGCCCCCTGGCGCTGCCCGGGGGAGGACAGCCGTGCAGCAGGCCATGGCAGAGCCTGGCTGGTGACTCCGCTTCTGGGACTGTCTTTGCCTCGGGGGCGCACTCTCCGGGAGCTGAGCGACAGGACACGGGGAACCCCAACCACCCAGCCCAGCGGACATAGACACAGAGCTGCCCCCTGGCACACACTGGGGCAGCCGCTTGGCTTGCCACCTGGCCGGGCCTGGCCCAGGGAAGAGCAGCCAGGCCCCACCGGGCCAGGGTAGGAGTCACGTATAGAGTAAAGCTCAAGTGACACAGGGGATGCCCGCAAAGTCCCCCCTCCCCAGACCTCCCGGCCCCCCCAGCCGCTTCGCAAGGCAAAGTGCTTCCGTCAACTCAGCTCCGGTTCCGCCCGGCTGCTCCCTCCGGCGCTGGTGTAAATACTCCCCCCGAGGACCGAGACGAAATTCTGCCCCTTTACCCGATGGCTTCAACCCCTGCGCTGTGGGGCAGACTGCTTTGTTAGTGCAGGGTGGGGGGGCTGCTATTGTAGGGTCACTCGGTTGTGCCCCCACCCAACTTGTTATTGTGGGGTTGCTCGGGGGGGGCTGGGGTGCTCAGCCTGCTTTGTTGGCGTTTCTGGACGCTGCCCTCCGCACACTGGCTCGTTATTGGCGGGCAGCCCACGCTGGGTGGGTACTTTGTTAGCGCAGGGTTGCTGGTGGGTTATGTGTATTTATTCATGGCTGGCAGTGCTCCTCCTGCTGAACATCGGCCCTCGCCGGGCATCAGGCTGAGTTTCCTCATTGCTGCCCCTCTGCCCTCGCCCGCCCACTGACCCGCTGGTATCGTGCCCCACGGCTGGCAAATACCCCTCCCCTCACCCTGACCCAGGGCCAACCCTGGAGCAATCGCCAGATGTTATGGGCTCCTCTGGGGGTGCCACCGTGCCCAAGGTTGGCCCTTGGCAGCGGGCTGTGAGTGCCACCACTGAGCCCTCTGGCAGTGCCAAGGCACCAGGTGGAGATGGCATAACATGGGTCAAGGGCAATGGGCACCCGTGCCTTGACTTGCCCTGGACAGCGCGGCAGCCCTCAGAGGGTCATGCCCGCAGCTCTCCACGCTGGGAACAGGCTGGCACCTGGCCTTGGGTGATTATTTAGAACCCGCACTAGTCCAGGAGAGCCCAGACCTGTGGGTGTCATGGAGTCCCCGGGCGATGCTCTGGAGCTGCTCCCTACGAAGCCAGGCAGGACTCTGGGGCAGTCGCCTTTCTGGGAGAAGCCTGTCTGCAGGACACACAGCTCACCCGGCTTCCCCCTTCCTGGGTCCGACCTCGGAGCATTCAGCCTCCTCTGCCCCTCCGTGCGCTTCCCACAGCCAGTCCGCCCAGGCGGGGTCCTGGAGAAGCCAGAGGGTCCTGCCCCCCAACTCCGCAGTCAGACGTGACTCTCAGCCAGCCAGTAACACAGAAGGTTTATTAGATGACAGGAACATGGTCTAACACAAAGCTTGCAGGTGCAGAGAACAGGACCCCTCAGCTGGGTCCATTTTGGGGGGTAGTGAGCCAGACAACCACGTCTGCCCTTCACTCCATGTCCCAGCCAGCCCCCAACTGAAACTCCCTCCAGCCCCTCCTCCTCTGGGCTTTGTCCCTTTCCCGGGCCAGGTGGTCACCGGATTCCTTTGTTCTCCAACCCTTTAGCTCCCACCTTGCAGGGGGAAGGGCCCAGGCCATCAGTGGCCAGGAAACAAGGTGTCGGCCATTCTCTGTGTCCAGACCCCTGCACACACCTGCCCTCTCGGGCTCTGCAACGATCATACACCCTTACCCCACCACCTAGACACTTAAGAACTGCCTAGGGGAAACTGAGGCACCCCCACACTATTCAGAGGAAACATTAAGAACAGTCCCGCTTCGTCACAGTGGGTCACTAGCCAAAGGGGGGACAGCCATGGGCCACCACTGACAGGGCTGCTGCTCCCCACAGCATCGCCTGCTAATCTGAACTGAGCCGAAACCAGCCCGCCGGGATCCCCGCCCAGCACCTGGGACGCAGAATCCCCCGGGGTGAAGAGGTGGCGCTGGGGACCATCAGTGTGGGGGTAGCCCAGCCCAGAGCTCCCCGGGCGTTCCCAGCAGCCAGCCGTGGTGCAGGGCCAGAGCCCTGGGGAATCCCAGGCCAGTGGGGCAGCCGCGGGGTGACGGCCTGGCCAGGGGGCTGGCGGAGGTGGGAGGGTGCTGTGGGTGGTGCCAACCTCACCTTCTGCACCGTGTCTTGCCAAGGGGAGCCTTTTCCACGGACGCCCGTGGGGGCCGCTCACCGTGTCGGTGGCTGGCGCCTTCCAGCTGCGGGGGGGGGGGCGGGGCTCCGTGCCACCCTCCTTGGTGAGCTGAGGGTAGCACCAGGGAGGAAACGGGCAAGGCAGGCAAGGGCCAGGGATGATTTCTGGAGAGGGAGATGTCTCACCCTGTGGGGGTGGGGGTCTTTACCCCCCCCCCGGGATGGCCAAGGGGCTGGTGGTAATTGAACTCACAGCCCCTCATCCTCCCCCCAGCTGGAGCGCCCATGAGCGAGACACCCTGTCCTGCTGGCGGGGCGGGTTTGTCAGTGTAGCGTGGGGCAGAGGCGGGGGTCGGGGGCACAGGGGGAAGCAGGGCAGTAGAGCAGGCCAGCCCCTAGACCCAGGGCTAAGCTGGAGCCGGGCTTCCCTTGAGGTGACTCCATCCAGGAGCATCAGGGGCCTGGGAAAAGGAATCCAGGGTCTCAACCCATGGCAGAGCTGAGGCAAACCCCCAGCTGCAGCTGGCCTGGGGCCGGGGCTCCCCTCTCCGGGCCAGGCCACGCTACCCCCTGCTGCGTGCACCTCTGTCCTTTCCTTCTCCCCGGTCTGCTTTCGTTCTCCTGCCAGAGAAATGCTGCTCGGGAGCGAGCTGTGGCCTGGCGAACGCAGGGCCCCACTGCCCACAGGCCGCTGGCTGGCTCAGGGCTACCACTGCCCGCTGAGGTGCCAGCAAAGCCCAGGCTGTCAGAAGGCCGAGCCAAAGGGCAGGTTGCTTTGCAGTGGGGGGAAGCCTGGGGCAAAGACAAAAGCTCTTCCCAGGGGCTGGGGGCCCAGCCTAGCCCAGGAACAGCATGCCACATGCCAAGCTGCCCCCAACACGCCAACCTCTCGTCTCCCCTGCCCTCCATGACCTCACGCTCCAAAGAAATCTGATGAGGTTCAATAAGGATAAGTGCAGGGTCCTGCACTTAGGACGGAAGAACCCAATGCACAGCTACAGACTAGGGACCGAATGGCTAGGCAGCAGTTCTGCAGAAAAGGACCTAGGGGTGACAGTGGACGAGAAGCTGGATATGAGTCAGCAGTGTGCCCTTGTTGCCAAGAAGGCCAATGGCATTTTGGGCTGTATAAGTAGGGGCATAGCGAGCAGATCGAGGGACGTGATCGTCCCCCTCTATTCAACATTGGTGAGGCCTCATCTGGAGTACTGTGTCCAGTTTTGGGCCCCACATTACAAGAAGGATGTGGATAAATTGGAAAGCGTCCAGCGGAGGGCAACAAAAATGATCAGGGGGCTGGAACACATGACTTATGAGGAGAGGCTGAGGGAACTGGGGATGTTTAGTCTGCAGAAGAGAAGAATGAGGGGGGATTTGATAGCTGCTTTCAACTACCTGAAAGGGGGTTCCAAAGAGGATGGCTCTAGACTGTTCTCAATGGTAGCAGATGACAGAACGAGGAGTAATGGTCTCAAGTTGCAGCAGGGGAGGTTTAGGTTGGATATTAGGAAAAACTATTTCACTAGGAGGGTGGGGAAACACTGGAATGCGTTACCTAGGGAGATGGTGGGATCTCCTTCCTTAGAGGTTTTTAAGGTCAGGCTTGACAAAGCCCTGGCTGGGATGATTTAGTTGGGGTTTGGTCCTGCTTTGAGCAGGGGGTGGGACTAGACACCTCCTGAGGTCCCTTCCAACCCTGATCTTCTCTGATTCTATGATCAGGCCCCTGCCCCTGCCCCTGGCCTGGTGCTGCTGACGCTCACTGGCCCCCGGGAACAGGGGTCGCCCCCCTCGCTCCACATCACGCTCAGACACAGCCCTGCAGGAGCATAAGCGCACGTTGCTTTATTGCTGCCCAGCTGGGCTACAGGACCCCCCCACGCCTGGGGCAGCGCTGACAGCCCCCGGCCCTGGCCCCCCGGGGAAGCTGGGAGGTTGCAGGCACGCGGCAGGTCGCTCACCAGAGGGCCTCCGGGCCAGGGCGGGCATGAGAGTCGGCGTCAGTGTCGGAGTTCGAACCCAGGAGTCCTGGCACCCAGCCCTATGCGTTCGTCACAGGCCGGTGGCAGGGAGGTTAGTGGAGCCCGCTGCAGCCCAGCTCCGGCCAGGCCTGGCCGGGTCCCCCCTGGCGGTGCCCGAGACAGACTGTCCCGGTGCAGAGGTTCCTCTGCCGTGGGCGGGGGGCAGGGGCTAGGTGGTGCTAGAGTGGTGGGGGCACGTTGGGGCAACCCCCCCCAACCCCTCCCGCCGCCCAGCCTGGAACGGGCAGCCCCTGGGGCAGGGCGAGGGGGGGCGAGCTGCTCTTCGGGTCCCTGCTGCTGCGGGGAATTCCAACGACGCCGAGGGGGGAGATGCGGAGTTTGCTCTTTGGATCAGAGCAGCGGCACCTCCGGCTCGGTGCTTTCATGGTTAACGGGGACCCCAGCCCCCCCAAGCAGCGGGAGGCCCTGACCCATCCCCGGGAGCTGGGGCGATAGCCAGACCCACCAACATACCCTCAGTTCAAGCTGGGCACATCTTGCTGGGCAAAGGGAGCCAGGCCAAAGTGGTCCCAGCAAAACGCCTGGCCGGGGGAGCTCAGGCCTGGTGAACACAGCCTGGGTGGGGAGGTCCGGAAATGAACGAACCACAATGGGTGAGCGGGCTGTTAGGCCTAATGGGCAGACAAAGCAATGTGGGGGGCATGGGAGCTAGGCTCCCCATCGCTGTGGCTGCATCCTCCAAAGGAGACTGGCACCACTTGCCCCCCGGCCTTCCTCACGCTGAGCAGAGGGACCCAGCTGGCAGGGCTGCCTCTGCCGGTGCCAGCCATATCCTGCCACCCCTGGGCTGACAGCCAGCTCCGGCCCATCTCCACTAACCTCTCCTCTGTCCCAGGACGTCCTCAGTGCCAGCTGAGAGTCACCCCTGGTGCCTTTTCCTTCCCGTTCCCAGCCAGGCCTGACTTAGCCCTGCCCGGTTCCAGGCTGGCGCTGCTTCTCCCCGGTTTGGGGATCGCTAGTGAAAGGCAACCGGGGCATTTGCCAGGGTGTCCGGACGGCCCCGGCTGCGCCCGCGAACCCCAGACCCTGTTCAACACCCTGTAAGGCTGGAGTGCGACGGACGCAGGAACACCTTTGGCCCATTGATTCCAGCTACATGGAGACCACACGGCTGCCCTGCCCACGCCAGCCGAGATCCCACCTACACCCTGACCCGTGAGCAGCTGCCATCCCCAGGGCCTAACGGGGAGAGAGCTGGGCCCAGGGCAGACCTGTCTTGCCCGGAAGGCCCAGGTGAGGGGCGGACTCGGATGGGGCCCTGGGATGAGCAAAGCGGGGTGGGCGCGCTCAGGGGGCCGGCTGGCGGGCAATGAACTGCAGGTTGATGGGCTTGTTGGGCACCAGGACAATGCGGGAGACCGACTTCACCTCCGTGCCACGGGGATCCGGCCGCAGCTCGAACGTCTGGATGATCTGTAAGGAGAAGGAGACGTCTTGTCTCTTCAGTGCCCCAGAGCCCCCTCCCCGGAGCACAGCGCCCCGGCCCCCTTCTGCCCCCCGGGGTGGCTCGGGAGTTTTCTCCCCAGTGGTTTTGCACACGGGCCCCGTCTGGGGGCTCACGCCGTGGCTGGGGCAGTCGGCTCCTACAGGGTGGTTCAGTTAGCAGTGGGGTGAGGGGACACTGAGCTCCCCCTCTTGGGGCATAGAGTCACGTAGCATCCCTGAGACCTGGGGGGTGGCACGTGTCTCCGACACGGGGGGGGGGGTGCTGTCTGCAGCTCTGGCCCTCGGAGCGCCCTGTCCTGCAGGCCGTAGCCAATCCCCCCGTCCGACCGCTGCCACCGCGAGGGTCCCCACTCACCCTGGCCAGAGCCAGGTGCATCTCCAGCTCCGCGATGCGCCGGCCCAGGCAGCCGCGGAGCCCGTAGCCGAAGGGGATGGAGCTGAAGGGGTGGTGGGCGGAGCCGTGGCCCCGGAGCCAGCGCTGGGGCAGGAAACGCTCGGGTTCCGGGAAGCTGGTCTGGTCGTGCGCCATCGCGTAGTGAGCCAGGACGAAGAGCGTCTGATGGAGCCGGACACAGAGGAGGTGAGACCCATCCCCACGGCAAGCCGTGTCCCAGGCAACATGCCACCCCTCTTGGCGGCCCCGAGCACGTGAGGGACCAAAGCCCTGGGTGGAAGGGCTGGGGGCATGGGCTAGATCTGGGCCCGGAGCGTGCTTAATTACCAGCACCCCTTGTTCGGGACATGTAGGCCCTGGGCTCCCTGTGACCAGCTCTGCCGGTGCCCCTCACTCCCGACCCGCAGCCCCTGCTAGCTCACCCCTGAGCTTCCCCCCGCCACACCTCTGCCGGTGCCCCTCACTCCCGACTCGCAGCACCTGCTAGCTCACCCCTGAGCTTCCCCCCGCCACACCTCTGCCGGTGCCCCTCACTCCCGACTCGCAGCACCTGCTAGCCCACCCCTGGGCTTCCCCCCGCCACACCTCTGCCGGTGCCCCTCACTCCCGACTCGCAGCCCCTGCTAGCTCACCCCTGGGCTCCCTGTGACCAGCTCTGCCGGTGCCCCTCACTCCCAACCCGCAGCCCCTGCTAGCCCACCCCTGGGCTCCCCCTCGCCCCACAGCTCTGCCAGTGCCCCTCACTCCCGACTCGCAGCACCTGCTAGCCCACCCCTGGGCTCCCTGTGACCAGCTCTGCCGGTGCCCCTCACTCCCAACCCGCAGCCCCTGCTAGCCCACCCCTGGGCTCCCCCTCGCCCCACAGCTCTGCCAGTGCCCCTCAGTCCCGACCCGCAGCCCCTGCTAGCCCAGCCCTGGGCTCCCCCCCGACTTTAGGCTGGTCCCCTTCCAAGCAGAGCTGGTTTGCTGTGCCCAAGGGGGAGCTGGCTTTGTGTTGCCTTCACATGGCACATCTAGTTCCTCCAGCTCCTTCTCTGGGCCCCGCAGCCGGTGCAGCCGCAGGGCTGGGGAGCGACGGCCTCAGGCCCAGGGGCCGGGAAGCAGACCAGAGACCCCCACTCACGTTCTTCGGGAAGTGATAGCCTCCAATGACGACGTCTTTCTCCACCATGACCCTGGAGTTGGTGGGGACCACGGGGTACAGCCTGCCGGGCAGGGAGAAGAGACGGGGCTACGGCATGGGATGGGGCAAGTGGCACGCCCCCCTCTCCCGTGCAGAGCCATTATCCCCATTGCACAGATGGAAACTGAGGCACAGAGTCCAAGGGACACAGGGCAGCTGTGAGAGCAGGGCAGTGGATGCTGAATTGGAGCCGGGGCACTGGCCGCTGGCCCATCCTTCTGTGCTGGCGAATGCCCTGAAGGACCGTTTGTCCAGTGCCGGGCTCCGAGTCACACCAGTGCTGGGCACAGTGCCATCTCCCTGGGACCGGGGGGGCGTGTGGGGCTGCTAGGGGAGGTTTGCCAAGTGCCGGTTAGTGAGGTGCACGGTGCCATCAGTCACCACCTCACCGTCCCTTCATGAGTCTGCCCCACCCAGGGATGCCAACAGGGCTGTGGGTTCTGCCAAGGGGGCCCCTCTCGGGCCAGGCCCCGGGGAGAGCAGGGGACGTACCTGAGCGTTTCCTTGATAATGGCCCGAAGCAGCGGCATCTTGGCGAGATCCTGGGCGCTGGGGATCTGCTCTCCGGGGACGACACTGTTCACCTCCTGGTACAAGGAGGTCTGGGTCTCTGGGCTCCTGGCTAGGTGGTAGAGGGCCCAGGACAAGGTATTGGACGTCTGGGGGGGACGACAGCAGAGACAGGGTGAGGGAGCAGCTCCGCACAGACAAGGGAGGCCGCAGGGAGGAAAAGCGGGAGCAGGCTGTGATGGACAGGGCAGCCCCTCGTGGCTCCCCAGGAGTCCCCCACCCTGCCCCACGTGGACGGCTCCCCACAAGCAAAGCCTTCGGCAGCTCCGAGCTCAGCCTAAACCCAGCCCTGCATGGCGGGGCCTGCCAGCCCAGAACCCCCACAGCTGGCTGTGTCACGCTAGTGCCAACTGAGATGGGGCCCCCCCATCGTGCCAGGCGCTGCCCAGACCCCTACGCAGATGGGGGCCCCGCTGCACCAGCTGCTGCCAGACCGCTATGGAGACAGGGTCCCCGTTGTACCAGGCGCGGCCCAGAGACAGTCAGGGACAGCTCCTGCCCTAAAGAGCTCACCATCTAAATAGACCAGAAAAAGGCAGAGGGGAAACTGAGGCCCAGAGGGGACGTGACTCACCCGGCAAGGCTGTGACAAGCTAGGAATGGAACCCAGGCTGGGCTGCTGCCCTACCCACTAGACCCCACAGCTCCCCAGCGCGCTCCCTTTTAGACCCACTGCATCTGCCCTTGGGGTGCCCACCCCTTCCCTCCCCACCCCACACAGAGCAGCTCCTCAGCAACCCCCCACGCAACGGGGTTTGTGCCACAGCCCCCCCCCATTCAAACAGCCCCCAGGCCTGACCCCCTTGGGCCGGGTGTCAGGGCTGCGGGCCGCCGGCCGCCCTACCGTGTCCACGCCGGCCAGGAGCAGCTCCGCCACGCTGCCGTACACCTCCTCCGGCATCAGCTTGCCGCTGGCCAGCAGGTAGCTCAGGTAGCCCGACGCCTGCTCGCCTCGCTCCAGCTGCACCTCCAGCTCCTCCATCTTCCTGTCAATCAGCTTCTTGCCTGCAGAGCCAGAGGGTCCAGAGCCGTCACGACCCTCGGCGGGGGGTGGGGGGCAGCTGGACTGTCGCACAGGGGAGGGGGAATCACAGCGGGTCCCGCGCAGAGACGGAGGTGGGGGAAGGGGCCTGGGGACCGTCGAGGGCTGCCCACAGAGCGACGGGGGTCACAAGCCCAGGGGATGCCCAGCTGCGAGCTCACTGCCAGGGCTCGCCCCAGACCCTGCCCAGCCGCCTCCGCGGTTGCTGGCTGGATCCCACAGGGACCCGTAACGTGGGAGCACCCCTGATGGGCACGCCTCTCCCCCAAGGGAACGGGGCTCCCCAGACGGCCCCCTCCCGCGCATGCTGAGAGACCTGGACTCATGGGCACAGCATCTCCCTGCCAGGCAGGGCCAGGCGATCCACCATCAAGGGTGGGTCTGGATGACTGCCTGTCCAGCCCAGGGCTATAGCTCCAGAGACCGGGGGTTGGGGGGATCATGGAGTCCCTCCCTCAAAGGGAGATTTCACTCTCCGTGCGGCCACACCTCTGCCAGTGGGTACTTGAGGGGCTCCCTGACTGCGGATGGAGCCAGGCAGGGAGGGCACCAAGCCCAGGGCAGGATCGACGCAGGCCCTGCCGTAGCTTGATGGGATCGAGTGGATCCTTGTTGCCCCCCCAGGACTGACTGTGATGGGAGGGTGGGGGGCAGGGGACCTGGGCCATGCACCACGGAGCAGATCAGTCTCCCTGTGCGAATTGTTGGGCCACACATCTGAGCTGGGGCCGGTATCCCGGCAGCCCTAAGCCCCAGGGAGAGGGGTGAGCAGAGACCCCAAAGCAGCAGAATTCGCTCTGGCTTCCTGGGACCCCTCAAGGCCAAAGGCGCCGTCAGGCTCCTACCAGGCCTGACAAACCCGCTCCAGCCAACCCAGCGCTCTCCCCGCGAGCGCCCGGTGAGGTAGCGGAAGAAAGCCGAGGAGACGCGGGTCGCTAACGTCGCTGCAAAATGGGCACACTCCTGCTACCCAAGGAGCCGTGTGCTCAGGAGGAAATTCTCTTCCCCAGTCTGGCACACGGCAGCGTGGACACGCCAACGCCCGTCCGCTCCACTGCCCCGGCTCGGGGGGCAATTCATCATTGCAAAGCGAAGCCCCGTTTACATGGTAAGACAACAGGGAAAAGCAGTGGTGGTGGGGGAGAGGTGAACCCAATGGGGGAGAGCCGCGGAACAAGGAACAGGGGGGACTCATTGTAGCTGTGGGTGCATTGCAGAGGCTGACGGGCCTATCTAAGAAATGCAGAAGGCCCCTGGTTTAGCCAATCAAAGAGGAAACCCCTGGAAGTACGTCGACACGGCAATTAAAAACCCACGGCTGGCCTGTGCCAGCCAACTTGGGCTGTGGGGATGTTTCATTGCAGTGTGGATGCCTGGGCTTGGGCTGCAGCCCGACCTCCGGGACCCTCCCACTTTGCAGGGTCCAGGAGCCCAGAAGTCTAAACAGCCCCTTAGCCTGAGCCCTGTGAGCTGGCCTGGGCCAGCCGCGGGTGCCCCCCTGCAGCGTAGACGTCCCTTGTAGGGCGAGGGGTGGGAACTCGGATCCTGGCTACGACTGGAATCCAGCACCTCTGTCAAAACCTGCTTTGCTCTGTAGGAACAGGACCCAGTGTAGACCCAGACCTGCGATTTACCCCCGGAACCTGTTCTGTTTCCATTTCTTAGCTGCACTCACATGTCGCCTTTGCTAATCAACGTCCAGTTGTTCCACTATAAATACCCGGGCTGGTATATAAATATAAGTGCCCGGGCTGGTATAAGGGCGCGATCCTGGCTGGGGCCCATCCAGCTGCGTGGACCCTGTCTCTCTGCAGACAGCTTGCCCCAGTGCCAGGGGCTGGCTATTACCAAGGGGCTCAGGGGGGTCTGTCACTAGCCTGCGCACAGAGGGCGAGGGCTGGGAGATCTGGAAGCCAGGGCTTGGTTTCAGGGAGCTGAGCTGCAGCAAGTAAAACTGCTCCCCGCGAAGGGCAGGGGTGGCGACGCGGCTCCCAGCCCTGGGTACCATCCCAGCGACACCAGGGTGGAGTCTGACCCCGGCTCCCCGCCCAGGGCACAGACCGAAGGCGAAGATGATGTCCCAGTTCTCCAGGTAGCGGTTCCAGAAGGGCAGCAGCTCCCGGCTCCACTGGGGCAGGATGGTGGCGAAGATGGAGTTCTTCAGCATGAGGCCGATGGCGTCGATGAAGCGCCGCGTCTCCACGGGGATCTCCTGCTCCAGGCACCTGATGCGGGTCTCGAAGAGGATGTAGGAGATGCCTGGCGGGAAGGAGAGGAGAGGGGCTGGTAGGGGCCCTGAACACTGACAGGGCCCCCCCGGGGGCGATCGGAGGGCCCCCCTGGGGGAAGGGGACTCCAGGGAAGCAGCGCAGGGCTGCAGCAGATCCGTCTGGATGCACTAGGGGGCAGCGTGCAATGCCCACAGGGCCCCCTGAGCCCCACTCCTTCCCCCCCGAGCCGCCCCCCTGCCCCCTACCTTCCAGGGCGAAGCTGTAGAGCAGGTTGGTCACGTTCCCCACCAGGACCCCCGAGGGGCTCCCCGCCCTCTCCACCTGCAGCCGGGCCATCAGGTCCGACACCACCTCGTTGATGGCCCCCGTGTACAGCGTGGCCTCCGACGGCTTGAGCATCCGCTGGTTGAGAACCTGGCGCAGGCGGTACCAGCGTTCCCCTTCCCTGCGGGGGAGGCAGAAGACGGCTCAGCGCCCGCCCACACCGAGGGGCAGCTGGGAGCGGGACACCGGGCCGCCCCCTCCGCGCACACGGGGGCTGGCAGGGATGGGCCAAGAGATGAAGGGAAGGCCGGGAACTGCCCCGTAACACCGGGGTTCACTTTTCCTTCCCCCCCCAACACACAATTCCAGCTGTGCCCACTGCCTGCCCCCTGCTCCTCATCCAGCTGCCCCAAGCAACAGCCAAATGGTGGCACCGGGCCCACCTAGCCCCAAGAGCTGGCCCTGCATCCGGAGAGACTCTGCCAGGTGCCCCCCCAGCGCCAGGAGAGGGGTACAACTGTACCAGGGCGCTAAACCCCTTGCTCCAGGGCATGAGCCAACCATGGACTCTTGGGCATGGAGGAAAACATCCCACGGGCTGGTAATTCCAGAAGTGCCCACTGTGGGGACGGGGTCCTGGGCAAACCCCAGTGCCTCTGTCCCTCCACCTCCCTGCTGCCCGCAACACTGGTCTGACCCCGTCGGGGGTCCTGACCCTCCCCAGCTCCGGGCTCCGCACCCCACAGCGGCTCAAGGCTAAGGGCCTCGGTCGCTAGCGAGACCTGGCCTGCATCACCGGAAATGCTCTGTGATGAGAATTTCAGCAGAAGCTCCCACCTTTCCCCGGCACCAAAATCTTTCTGCCCAATCCTCGACTTCACCCCAGTGCTGTCTGATCACGCATTTAGAAGCAACACGTGTTAGAAATGACACACGTGGGGGAAACCAGGTCAGCCTTGACCCATCAAGCCTGCCCGTCTCTTGCACACCTTGCCTTGATTCTCTACGGCTTTGGCAGGCCCTGGCGAGCCTTCGGGACGGAGCGAAGGCAGGAGTCCAAATGCAATGCTGCCTGGGTGCCAGAACCACCAGGCAGCCGCCCGATCAAGGACATTAGTCTTGCTAGCACACAAGGGAATAGCTCAGTTTCCTAGAGCGGTTTTCTCAGCCTTCTTCATACCAGGCTTGCTGCCTTCCTCAACTGTGCCGGGGAGATCTCAGGGACTAGCACCGGTCCACGGACCAGTCATGGAGAAACACAGGCCTAGAGGGTCCGAAGGGACCATTAGATCGAGTAGTCTCCCCTCCTGCATGTTGCAGGCCATTGTCTTGTACCCAGCTGCTCGGGACTCCAGCCCTGTATTGATCTGGGAGCCCACATGATGTTTGCATTGCAGCAGTGCTCAGAAACACCGTCAGGACGGCTAAAGCCTTGATCATTGGACTCACTCGGTGAACGGGCCGTACTGCAGCTGCCTGATATCCCGATGCTCCTTCCACAGGGCCATGTCGCTCCTCATGGGGTATTTCCCCTCCTGCCTCAGCAGCTGCTCCAGGATCTCCGGGCTCCCGATGTTCACGTTCTTGTACTTCCCAAAGGTGGATTTCCACATGGGGCCGTAAAGCTTCCGGAACGTAATCTGCAATTCACCACAGCAGGTTGGCCCCGACTGGCATGCCAGCCCCTCGTGGAGGATTGGGAGTGGGGTATGTAGCCTTGCATTGCTGGGCTGCCACTTCCAATCCAGCCACAGGGCGGTAGTCACCAGACACCACTGTGATGGTCGGGGAGCAGATGGCTTTACCTCCCCAAGCTCCAGCGGGCCAGCCAGAAACCTCCCTGCAGCCCATGATAAAATTCAATGTCCCTGGGCACTGGGCTACTTACCTTCCTGAGCGGTTGCATTTCGTATTGGGAGTGGGGCAGCATATCTGAATGTTACCAGTGAGAACATCAGAGTCCACCCCTGCGGATGCTGGGAGAGTCCTACCCTGAATCTGCCCTTCTCTGGTAACAACGCCTCGGTGCTCTCAGAGACTGAGGTGACAGGAGAAGGGGGGCTGGCACAAGTCACCTGGCACCATGCCCAGATGGTCCAGCCAAGGGATTTAAAGGAGCTCTAGGAGAATGGGCTAAACTGCTCGCAAAACCACACAATCTCTCACCAAAAACGGCCATGGTCCCGGAGAACTGGAAAGCAACACTTTATTCTATATCTATATTTTAAAAAGACTCTGGGGGCGATTCGGGGAATTCCAATTCATATCTGGCACACTGGCTGAAAGGCGAATTAAAAACAAAACAACAAAACACCGGCCGATCCTGCGGGGAGAGGCTCGGCCCGGCCTGGCCCTGCAAAGCCAAGCTGCACCTCACCAATCTCTTGACAAGGTCTCATACAAGTAGCTACAAAAGAAGGGAAATCGTCCTGGGGTGAGAGGCCAAGTATTGTCCTAGCACAGGAACAGGCCAAGAGTCAGGGAGCAAAGTATAGCATGAAATGGTCCATTTCCACCACGGCCCCAGGGTCCTGGTGGGACCCATCAGGCTCTGCCCTAAATCCCGGGTTAATATATTTCTTAACAATCTGCACGGCGGGGTGGGGGGGATAGTGAGGTAGCACAATGGGAAGATGACACAGCTATTCAGGGGAGTCACGAGCAGAGAGCTGACTAAGTTGGGTGACCGGGAAAAATGACAGCAGATGAAATTAATGCAAAGTCCGCAGGGGGAAAAGTAAATGACTCACACACCGCCTGGGGTCTAAATGAACTGCATCGACGCATGAAAGGGACTTGGGCATCACTGTAGACCATGCGATGGAGACCTCTGCTCAGTGCACAGTTGAGGTCAAAGAAGCAACCAAGCCATTCAGCTGCATAAGGAATGGGAGGGGAATAATTATGGTGAAGTCTCTTGTACCATTCTCGAAATCTGCAGGGCAGCCTCACCTGGACACTGTGTGCATCGCATTGCAGAGAAAACCACAGCCGAGAACAGAGAGAAAGAGCCAAAGTGATTAGTGGGATGAAGAGATTTCTGCAGAGAGAGACTGGAACAGCTGGGAGAGTTCACCTGGCGGGGGGAGCAAGAGGAGATGGGACCAAGGCATATGAAGTAATGAAGGGGAGCGAGGAGGCAGGTCAGGTGCTGCTGTGGACACTCCCTCAGAACAGAAGAACAAGAAAAACTCACCATCTCAGGTCAGTTAGGAAAGCTCTTGCCACGCCAGGCGGAACAGGGCTGTGTGCTCCCTGCCGTTAGCCACCACGGAGGCGGAGAGCTTGGCATGACTTCTGAATGGATCGGAGACTCTTCTCCGGGCAATGGGCACGTCCCCAGTGACGCCAGGCAGGATTCGACAGAGATCTTCCTGCATCAAGCCCCGAGTCAACCTCTGGCTGAGCTGGGTCCGGGCAGGTTATTCCAGAGGTAACACTAGGGGGTTCTGGAACCTTGCTCTGAACACTGTTGGAGATGGGGCCCGTAACTAGATGGATCTGGGGTCTGAGCCTGTGTGCATACTACAGGTCATTATGGTGGAGACTAAAGTAGGGAAACATGGGTTTCAGTGGGAGTCAGGTTCCTAAATACCTTTGAGGATCTGGCCCACATAGGACAATCTCACATAGGATCTAGGGCCCCGATCCTATGCATGTGGCCCCCTGAGCCTACTACAGGATCGAGGCCTACGCTGAGTAAAAGCATAAAAATACACAACACTGTGCAAAGCAAAGATAAAGGGCATTTCCCCTCTCGGCTGATTCGTTTGCAGAACAACAAAGCCTTATTTGGAAACCTGACCAGCAGGCTGTGACCGAGACCCCGTTGGCACAGCAGGGCACGTCCATTCCCTTGGTGGGTATGGCACCACCGTCCCTCATCGCTGCTTCGTCAGAACAAAGCAAAGTTGCAACATATTCCAAAAACCGGCCTCTCTCGTCAGGGCTCCAATGCAGAATGGTTCCCCCGGCTCTGGCTATACCAGCCCTGGTTCCTTTTTCTAGGGAGAAGCTGTGACGAAGTGGGACCATTCTTAATGTTTCCTCTGAATATTGTGGGGGTGCCTCAGTTTCCCCTATGCAGTTCATAAGTATCTAGGTGGTGGGGTAAGGGTGTATGATCGTTGCAGAGCCCTAGAGGGCAGGTGTGTGTAGGGGTCTGGACACAGAGAATGGCCAACACCCTGTTTCCTGGGAACTGATGGCCTGGGCCCTTCCCCCTGCAAGGTGAGAGCTAAAGGGCTGGAGAACAAAGGAATCAGATGACTTCCTGGCCTGGGAAAGGGGAAAGCCCAGAGGAGGAGGGGCTGGAGGGGGTTTCAGTTCGGGGCTTGCTGGGGACGAGGAGTGAAGTGCAGACGGGGTTGTCTGGCTCACTGCCCCCCAAAATGGACCCAGCTGAGGGCTCCAGTTCTCTGCACCTACAAGCTCTGTTTTAGACCATGTTCCTGTCGTCTAATAAACCTCAGAGGATGCTGAATGCTCCAAGGTCATACCCAGGAAGGTGGAAGCTGTGTGAGCTTTGTGTCCTGAAGACAGTCTGCTCACAGAGAGGAGACTTCCCCAGAGTCCTGACTGGCTTCATGGGGAGCAGTTCCAGAGCATCACCCAGAGACTCCGTGACAGAAGCCAGGATGGGCATCTTGGAAATGCACAGAACAATAATCCTACAGCTAAGTCACAGGAGTGAAAGGAAGACAGTCATTGGCCTAGACGCATGCATATGAGTTTGCCGTTCACCATCAGTTACGCTTCCCCACCTTGATAACATTCAGATGGGTTTTCGCTTGCTGCTTTTAGTAACCTAGTCGCTGATCACACGTTCCTCTCCCCAAGGACTGGACGGCAAACACACTGAGGCCCATGGGGTGTACATCTGCATTTCCAGCGGGGAGCAGTCCTTACTCACCAGCGTGGCTATTGGATTTCTTGCATGAGGGAGGACTCCCTGACTGAGTGAAGACTTGCAGGACTGGATGCTTAATGAGCAGGGTCTATTTAAGCTATAGAATCACCCTCTGTGCTAAGCCCTGTTCAAAGGAATTTCACCATTAAGTTCAGACTTGAAAAGCAACCTAGCAACAACAGTGAATTCAGCTGCAAGGCTGGGAACCTGCTGGGAAGAAGGATTATTTCACTTTGACAAACAACATGTAGAAGATCTGCTTGGCTGAAAGCCACACAGGAGGCCGACAGTGTAAAGCCAGTGTCTGCTCATGACAGTTTGCATGGTCTCATTGTGTTGCTTATTCTCAGCAAAGCAATTGGGATGGCCAGAAATGTCAAGGTCTGGTGCCAGAGTTTTATAACTTAGTAACTAATTGCTCTCTATTTATACCTCCAGCTGTATATCATGTAGAAATGCACCCAACCTCTTAAGGGTTCCTGGCTTTGCCGGGGGATGTTGTGAAGGCCAAAACCATAATTGGGTTAAAAAAACCCACAAGAGTTAGATAAATTCATGGCGGATAGGTCCACCAATGGCTATGGTGGCCAGGGAGGCAACCCCACCCTCGGGGCGTCCTTAAACTTCTGACTGGCAGAAGGTGGGACTGGATGACAGGGGATGGATCACCCGATAATCACCCTGTTCTGATCAAGGAAGCACCCGGTATTGACCACTGTTGGAAGACAGGATACTGGGCTAGGCAGACCATTAGTTTGACCCAGTCTGGCAGTTCTTATGATCTTATTAAAAAAATACAACTAAGGAAATTCCCAAGCAAAAAGCTTTGTTACACTGCAGTTAAGGTTTTGATCACATCAACCACTAATGAGTTTTGAAAGTGTTTGAAAAGAACATTCCCTTTTTAAGCTCTCTCTCCCTCACACTCAGACCCCCTCCCTTTTGGAAAGATACCCCCAAATCCTGCATCTTGGCAGGGGGTTAGGCTAGAGCAGGGTTCTCAACCAGCAGTATGAGTCCCCCTGGCAGAGGTCTTCCAGGAAGTACATCAACTCAACTAGCGATTTGCCTAGTTTCACAACAGGCTACATAAAAAGCACTAGCGAAGTCAGGACAAACTAAAATTTCATACAGACAATGACTTGTTATTAATGCTCTAGATATTACACACTGAAACGTAAGTACAGTGTTTATATTCCAGTTGATTTATAATTATATGGTAAAAATGAGCAACTCAGCAATCTTTCCGGAATAGTGTGCTGTGATACAAAATCAGACACAAAAATACAGAAGTAAGCAGGTAGTTTTTACGTGAGGTGAAACCTGGGGGTACACAAGACAAATCAGCCTCCGGAAAGGGGTACTATATCTGGAAAGCCGCTGGACCAGCTGACCCTTGCGGTCCCCTCTCACCCAGCTGCGACCCAGGAGACAATCAGCTCCTCAGATAACCAACAACTTCATCACACCAGTCCGGTTTTCAAGGGCATTGCCGGCTGCTAGCTTTCAGCGTTGCCTGTACCCGCCAAATGAGCCTGACTGCTTCCTGTGTTAGATTTAGGAGGTCTTTTCGTTTCAAGAAGAAAACAAACACCTGGATTCCCCAGCACCTCCCATTGTCCCCAGCACCACATGCCCCCTGGGGAAACTGAGGATTGGCACAGACTGTGTTTGTGGGCGGGAGGCCCTGGAGCTGCTCTTGTCCACATGCTCCTAGGCTACAATTACCCAGGCAGAGACAAGAGGCAGCCTGTCAGGGCTTTGGCATTCAGCTGAGCACAGAGTTCATAACAGCATGGGCTCGGCCATTTCATTTTGAAGGAGAGTCAGTTAATAGCCATGTATACCACCCCACGCTACAGATAGGGAAACTGAGGCACAGAGCACAGACATGACTGGCTAAAGAGACATAAGACACTCCTCCTTCATCCCCTCCCCCCCTGTGAGAAAAAGCCCCCTGCCCGGGTGCGCATTTAAGTGAGGAGGACTTTAGCTGCTTCTAAATATTCCAGGGTGCCCTGAGAAGGAGAGGTGACTCTTTCTCTCCAGCTGGGTATTTGGGTTGCCCAGGGTGACTGGACACAGAGCAGAACCTGAACCCGATTCCTCTTTGAACTGAGAGCAGGAGATCCTGGACACACTTCATAGATCCCAAGGCCAGAAGGGATCGTTGTGATCAGCTAATCTGACCTGCAGCCTAACCCGAGCCCAGAACTTCCCTGAATGAATTCCTGTTTGAATTACAGCAGATGCTTTAAGAAAAATCCAGTCCTGATTTTAAAATCGCCTGTGATGGAGAATCCACCACACCCCTTGGTATGTTGTTCCAAACGTTAATTACCTTCACTCTCAAAAAGTTACTCATTATTTTCAGACTGAATTTGTCAAGCTTCATCCTCCAGTCATTGGGTCTTGTTAGACCTTTGTCTGCTAGACTGAGGACAGTGGCATCATTTCAGATTGGGGGGGGAGGGGGCAACTTTAATTGTGATTCCAGGGGCTACTTGGGGTTTTTTTTGCAGATAACTTAGCAATGAGTTGACAGGGGCACTGTATCTAATTCCTATACAAAGAAAGAAAATTAAATATTAGACCCACTCAGCTCCAATACGAACACGTTCTGACATCTTGTGTCAAGTCACTTAAGGGACACTGGTTAGATTTAAAATTGTAATGTCTATTCTTACTCTTGAATACAAGAATTGAAATACTTGTAGAAAAATCTCGATGACTTTCTATCCCTTCTTTTCAGTTCACCAAGCTTGGAATAGATCATTTAACTTTTGGAAATGTCCTACGAGGGTAAGGCCCCGTGAGTTTATACTGCACCTGCCTGGGGCTCGAGGCGTGTTACCGCACTACAAATTATAGTCTAGATAGAAACTGAATTTAAACAGGAATGAAACAGGCCCTGTCAAGTCACTTTCACAGGACTGCCATCCCCAAATGTTCAAAACTCATGAATCAGGCTCACCAAAAACCGTGAGATGGGCTTTAAAATCATGAGATTACATAAAATAATAGATTTGGGGATCTTTTCATTTGCCTTCTGCTTTCTGAGCCTTAAGGGTGCAATAGGGGTCACATTTTGATGCTTTCTCCACAGCCACCAGGGCTAGACACTTCGTTTCTCTTTAAGAACGACGGATGAAATCATCACAGATCACCTAACTCCAGCAGCTGTGACTTTAAGGAAAACAATTATCATGAGACTCGTGACAAAGTCCTGAGAGTTGGCAACACAGCTTTCCTTTCTGTTTAAAGGCGAGTGACTTTCCAGAAGGCTCTTAAAACACAACACCCAGCGACTGAGTTGCGGTTCTCACAGGAGAATATTTAAAACCAAACACCAAGAAAATGCCACATTTTAAAACTGAGGAAAAAATGGAGACTTCTGAGGTATGTCAGGGCCACGGGGGCCACGGCAGGCGGGAAAGGAAAACAAACAGGCCCAGGTGCTCTGGGCAGCTCTTCCTCTTGAAAGAAAGTGGGAGGGTTAAATCTAGTCCTTAACCGAGTAAAACGTCTATTACCAAACTTCTGTCCACTCACAGCTATAAACGTTACAGTGAGCATGTCCTAACATGTGGTCAATAACTCTACACTTCATCCTTAAATATCTGAGCCGTCTTATCCAGGGCTACATATCCGCTCAGGAACTACATTGTCTGGCCTATTCTGAACAGTGCAGAGCACACACATGGTGCCCAAAGAATAACTCTGAAACCTGTCATGATTTGTGTAACAGCCGTGTTCGTCTGTATTCGCAAAGAGAAAAGGAGTACTTGTGGCACCTTAGAGACTAACCAATTTATTTGAGCATGAGCTTTCATGAGCTACAGGTCACTTCATCGGATGCATACCGTGGAAACTGCAGCAGACTTTATATACACACAGAGAATATGAAACAATACCTCCTCCCACCCCACTGTCCTGCTGGTAATAGCTTATCTAAAGTGATCATCAGGTTGGGCCATTTCCAGCACAAATCCAGGTTTTCTCACCCTCCACCCCCCCACACAAATTCACTCTCCTGCTGGTGATAGCCCATCCAAAGTGACAACTCTTTTGGATGGGCTATCACCAGCAGGAGAGTGAATTTGTCTTCTCGTGGCTCTTCTCTGCCCCCTCTCCAATTTATCCCCAGCCTGCCTGAATGGTGGGTGCCAGAGCTGGACACAGGATTCCAGCAGCGGCCGCACCAGAGCCCAAACCAGAGATAAAATAACCTCCCTGCTCCTCCTCGGCATTCCCCCGTTGATGCACCCCGGGATCACATCAGCCTGTTTGGCCGTAGCATTCCCCTGGGGGCTCATGTTCACCACAACCTTGATATCTTTTTCGGCGTCGCTGCTTCCCGGGATAGAGTCCCCCAGTCTGTCCTGTCAGTCTGGCCTGGCCTCTGTCCCTCGACGACTTTCCGCTTGGCAGTACTCAACGTTTGGCTGTATTGTATGTTTGCTTGTGCCCAGCTGAACAAGTCCAACCTCCCAGACCCTAACCCTCTGCCTCCCATAGCATGCCCTGCCAGCCCTCCGCTACTACGGCCAAGTACTCAATGCTATTTGAGCCTGTCCGAGACAGGTTCTTACCCACCCCCATCACTGCAATACCTGGGCCTCTTCTAACCCCGCATCCAGGGACACGCTGGCACTTGTGGATCTTCCTCTCTCTCACCCTGTCCCGCGGGGAGCGCCGTGCCCGCAGGGACTGGCTTGCTTTGGTTTCGAAAGGCTCGCTGCTCAGTGTTTCGGGCAGAGGTGGCTGGGTGGAGAAGGCACTGGGCACGGGGATGGAGAGGTTTGGGACGGCCCTGGAGGAGTTAGTCTGACAGTCTGGGTCCAGCCCCCAAGGACCCCGTGTCTCGTGCCCAGACAAGCCTCACCCTGAAAGCAGAACGTCCCATGGGGCCAAAGGCGCGGTGCTGTCACCCACGGTCCCCGTCCATTGCTAGAACCCCAACGCCAAGTGCCCAGCCCCACAGGGCACAATGCTCAGCCCCCCAATAGCGTGCACCCTGCTGCCCCACTCCTATGTACCCAGCACCCCCCTCTGTTTGCCCACCCCCTAAGCCCAGCTCCCCCAGCCGGTACCCAACACCCAGCCTCCCGACTGCCCGGTGCCCAGGCCCCCCAGCTGGTGCCCAACACCCAGCCCCCGCCTGCCTGGTGCCCAGCCCCCAGCCGGTGCCCAGCCCCCCAGCCGGTGCCCAACGCCCAGCCCCCGACTCCCGGTGCCCAGGACCCCGGCCCGCACCTGCAGCTGGTGCGTATGCAGCAGGTAGCCGCGCACGAAGATCCAGTACAGGGAGCGCAGCAGCCCCGGCCCCGGCAGCTCCTCGGGGCCCTTCAGCCGCCGCTCGCCCTGCGCCGCAGCGGCTGCTCCGGCCGCGCTGGCTCGGCCCCTCCGGGCCGGCTCCGAGCGCGGCGCCCCGGCCAGCGGCTGCAGCCAGCGGCGCAGGGGGAGCCCCGCAGCTCGGCGCCCGACGCCCGGCCCCGCCATGGCCACACTGCCCGCGCCGCGGTGGCCCGGGGCGGGGGCGGGGCCGGCACCTGGGGGGGGCCGAGGCGCGAGTCCCACCCCGGGGGCTGGAGGAGGAGCGAATCTGGAGCGGGCGGCAGGAGGGAGCAGCGCGGGGGGGGGATCAGGAGGGAGCAGCGCGGGGGAGGGGGCTGGAGGGGAACAGGAGGGGGCAGCGGGGGGGGGCAGGTGGGGATCAGGAGGTGGCAGCCGGGGGGGGGGGAGGGGGGATCAGGGGTGGGGGGGGGGGGGAGGAGGGGATCGGGGTGGCAGGGGGGGGGGGCAGGAGGGGATCAGGAGGTGGCAGCCGGGGGGGGGGGGCAGGAGGGGATCAGGAGGGGGCAGCGGGGGGGGGGGGGGCTGGAGGGGAACAGGAGGGGGCAGGGGGGGGGGGGGGGCAGGTGGGGATCAGGAGGTGGCAGCCGGGGCGGGGGGCAGGAGGGGATCAGGAGGTGGCAGCCGGGGGGGGGGCAGGAGGGGATCAGGAGGGAGCAGCGCGGGGGAGGGGGCTGGAGGGGAACAGGAGGGGGCAGCGGGGGGGCAGGTGGGGATCAGGAGGTGGCAGCCGGGGAGGGGGGGGCAGGAGGGGATCAGGAGGTGGCAGCCGGGGAGGGGGGGGCAGGAGGGGATCAGGAGGGGGCCCCCCACTACAGAAAGGATGTGGACAAATTGGAGAGAGTCCAGCGAAGGGCAACAAAAATGATTAGGGGGCTGGAGCACGTGACTTCAGAGGAGCGGCTGAGGGAGCTGGGATTGTTTAGCCTGCAGAAGAGAAGAATGAGGGGGGATTTGATAGCTGCTTTCAACTACCTGAGAGGTGGTTCCAGAGAGGATGGATCTAGACTGTTCTCAGTGGTGGAAGAGGACAGGACAAGGAGCAATGGTCTCAAGTTGCAGTGGGGGAGGTCTAGGTTGGATATTAGGAAAAACTTTTTCACTAGGAGGGAGGTGAAGCATTGGAATGGGTTCCCTAGGGAGGTGGTGGGATCTCCTTCCTTAGAGGTTTTTAAGGTCAGGCTTGACAAAGCCCTGGCTGGGGTGATTTAGTTGGGGTTGGTCCTGCTTTGAGCAGGGGGTTGGACTAGATACCTGCTGAGGTCCCTTCCAACCCTGATATTCTATGATTCTATGTTTAGGAAAGGGATAGATAATAGGACAGAAAATATCATATTGCCTCTATATAAATCCATGGTACACCCACATCTTGAATACTGCCTGCAGATGTGGTCACCCCATCTCAAAAAAGAGATATTGGACTTGGAAAAGGTTTGGAAAAGGGCAACAAAAATGATGAGGGGTATGGAACAGCTTTTGTATGAGAAGAGATTAACAAAACTGGGACTTTTCAGCTTGGAAAAGAGATGACTAAGGGGGGATATGATAGAGGTCTATAAAACCATGACTGGTGTGGAGAAAGTAAAGAAGAAAGTGTTATTTACTCCTTCTCATAACACAAGATCTAGGGGGTCACCAAATGAAAATGTTGTGAAGGCCAAGACTATAACAGGGTTCAAAAAAGAACTAGATAAATTCATGGAGGATAGGTCCATCAGTGGCTGTTAGCCAGGATGGGCAGGGATGGTGTCCCAAGCCTCTGTTTGCCAGAAGCTGGGAATGGGTGACAGGGGATGGATCACTTGCTGATTCCCTGTTCGGTTCATTCCCTCTGGGGCACCTGGCCCTGGCCACTGTCGGAAGACAGGACACTGGGCTAGATGGACCTTTGGTCTGACCCAGTCTGGCCGCTCTTATGTTGTTCAGGAGGGGATCTGGAGGGGGGTAGGAGTAGGGGGCAAGTGGAGGGAGTAGGTGGGGGAGGAAAGGGGGGCAGGAGGGGATCTGGAGGGGGCAGCAGGGAGGAAGTTGGTGCGGGAGGAAGGGGTGAGGCAGGAGGGGATCTGGAGGGGGCAGCAGGGAGGAGGTTGGTGGGGGAGGAAGGAGTGGGACAGGACGGGATCTGAAGGGGGCAGAAGGAGGGAGTTGGTGGGAGTAGGGAGAAGGTGGAGGGTGCAGGAAGGTGTTGGTGAGGTTTGGAGGGGGGCATTCAACCTTCCTGGACAGAGGAAGCTGGCCATGGGGGTCTCAGGTTGCTAAGACCAGACCCCCCCTGCTGGGAATGTGCACCTGGTTTCTGGTACCTGAGTACCCTCTCTCTCCCTGAGCCTACCCTACTGCCCAGGGAACCGATCAGTAGTATAAGGGCCCGACCATCAATCAAATCCTAACCCCGCCCCTTTGACCCCTTAGCCCCACCCCTTGACCCCTTAGCCCCACCCACCGGAAGTCCCACCCTCATGAGTTATTACTTCTGGGGTCAAGGCTGCCACATGACTGGAAGCGAGGTGTGTCATGTGACACCCACCCCACCCCTTGACCCCTTAACCCCACCCCTTGACCTCTCCCCCCCACCGGAAGTCCTGCCCCATGGGGTATTACTTCCAGGGTCAAGGCTGCCACGTGACCGGAAGCAAGGTATGTCATGTGACCCCTCTAACAACTCCTCCCACTGCCCTCTACCAATCAGGATGGGTTTCATCCCCTGTAGGACTTTCCCCAAGAGGAGCTTTGACCAATCAGGGCGAGTTCTGGGGCGGGGTGTCCTCTCCGGAAGTGGGTCTTGTGACCCCTCTAACAACCCCCCCCACCTTCTACCAATCAGGATGGGTTTTGCCCCTGTAGGACCGCCCAGAGAGGAGCTTTGACCCATCAGGGCGAGTTCCGGGGTGGGGGTGTCCTCTCTGGAAGTGGGTCTTGTGACCCCTCTAACAACTCCTCCCCTGACCCTGCTACCAATCAGGAGGGGTTTTGTTCCGATAGGACCAAGAGGAGATTTGACCAATTAGGATGAGTTCCGGGGGCGGGGTGACCCGTCCGGAAATGATTCATGTGACCCCTCTAACAACTCCTCCCACCAACCTCTACCAATCAGGCCGGCCCGAGAGCAGATTTGACCAAAATAGGGCAGGTTCTGGGATGGGGTGAACCGCCCAGAAGAGGGGCGTATGACCCCTCTGCCAATCAGAGCGCAGCACCATCACCCCATAAGGCCCAGCGTCGGGCAGAAGAGGCTGTCTTTTACCAAGAGCTCGTGTTTTAGAAATCGTGGAAACATGGACTCCTTCACCACCCCCGTGAGGACTTCGGACTTTGTTTTAGCCCCGAGGGCCTTCAACAAACCGCGGAGAAAGCGCTACATCAGAGAGAGCTCCGAGGAGGAGGGAGCGATTGAGGGGAGCCCTTTGGCCCAGCCATTGATGGACACACCGGAAACCGACCCCGAAACCCAGCTGCTTGTGGGGCCCCGCGATGAGCGTGATGGCCTCTTGTTGTCCACCCCCCGAGAGGTGGAAAGTGATCACGGCTTGGGGGAGTTACGGGCGGACAACGTGAATGAAAAAGACGTGGCTCAGGTAAATGAATGTTTAAGAAGTGACGGTCGGGGTGGGGGTGTAACGGGGGCTAGGAACCAGGGATTGTGTAAATCAAAAACCAAGCAGTGGTGTGCTTACGCTGTTTCTTTTTTGAAAAAAATCTCTCAACAGCTCGATGATGCCTTTCTAGAGGACCCGGAGACTCTGGACAGTGTTGCACCAAGCAGCGAAGATGAACCGGGCCCACCTTGTTTTTGCTCAACGCCGATACAAAATGTTGAAGAGGACTCCGAGGATGACGGCTATGAGGAGTTTAGGAGGAGGTTTGGCATGGAACTGACTGAGCCAGTGCCACATCGTGAGCGTAAAAAAGTCATGCGGATTATTGTACGCGTTGCTGTTTATTCTGTTCTTAATCACTGTCTTAGGCAAAAGCTTTTTGAAGATTGTGAGGGCTGTGTCATAGATGCACCATGACTGTGTGATTTGGACTTCAGTGGATATAAACTGCAAGCTCCGGGGGCCTGTGTGCTGAGCTGTGTTTGGAAAGCTTATTAAACACTGTTATTGCCATAGGTTATGCTATGCAATGTCTGTGCCTAACCCAAGAACATTTAGCACAAGGGGTGACCTTGATAAATGCTGTGCAATTCAGTGGAGACCCTGACCATGTTTTAAAGAAAATGACCAAACCGGAAGATGCCTGCTTAGAGCGCAGGCATATTGACCGTCTGGTCCGCACAAAAAGTTACAGAACCCTGCTTAAGAAAAAGTCTATTTGTAAGAAATCTAAAAGGATTAAGTTAGAAAATGGTGAGGGGCCAAACATGCGATATAAAACTTGGTAGCTGTAAATTTAAAAAAAAAAAAAATCTATTGAAAAGGGCTTTGTGACTATCTGTATTTCTGTTAAAAGGTCTCTGGCCCCTAAGGGAGCTTAAAGAAAAAAAGACTTTCTTTTTTTAATGGAGCATCTTGGTTTGTTTTCAAGGAGCTGTATGTCTTTTAAATAAAAAAAATTGTTTGTGAGCTCTTGTGTCTTTTGTGTAAGAGAGACCCATTTACAGCAAAAAAAAAAAAAAGCTGAAATGTATGTTGTGGGAGGGGGAAAAATATCCTAAAAATGTGTTTATAATAAAACAAACAGGGATGGTTCAGACATGTGGTTGAGTACAATAGAGCTGACTTATTCTGTTGAACTGAACGGGTTTAACCCCCCCCCCCCTCACTGAATAGCCAGGGGTGACTGTGATTACTCACCCTTGTTGCTATAGGGTTAATTTTGATGGGGGTGCACCCATAGTAAGGGAGGTGGGTGGGTGAGGATGGTGAGTTCTGATTAATATGAAATGAAATGAAACCTCAGGAGTTTGCCAATGCTATTGGGCAGTTTAAATATAACCCCTGGAGTTGGTGGAATGCTATAGGCCAGTTTAAATATGGCCCAGGAGTTGGTTGGTTGAAGGTGATTTTCTAGAAATCACCCCCCGCCCCACCAAACTTTAAGCATGAAAGAAACATGTTTTTAGAAACAAAAACAAGTCCCAAGACATTCATTGATATCTGCAAAGGGTCCCTCACTTGAAATGGTTACTATAAGAAGGCCCTGCAGGGGTGGGGAAAAATAAAATGTATTTGAACTTAAAAA